CCGGACGTGCCTTCGCAAAGAAACCTCTTTTTTAAATCAGTCTGACACAGTTTAGGGTCTTCTTTTAAACTCTTTTTATATATTTTGAATGGCTTTGTTTTATATCACTTCTGGGGCTTTTATCAACAAATGAACAAGTTGGGTTACGACGAGCTTCACTGTGGCGGTACGTGAGGATCTTAAGTTAATAAATTCTTACATTTCTCTGGGAAAAATATTAGAATTTGACAGTTAACAAAGTTGGAACATATGTAGGCTAGCTTCGGCTGAACAGAGTAAGATACCCCCCAAGAGGAGAAAGACAGCAATCATGATGTCGAGGTTAAGTGACACCAGCAGAATGATAGCATTACTTAAATAAAGAAAATGGCTTTTCATTAATTCCAATCGCTGTGATTTGTGCGTAGAAATGACATTTTTAACGAATTTTAAAGTCATGTGATCTGACTAACCTTCTGAAGGGCTGGAACATGGAAAATTTGCAGACCAGTAAGCGCACTTGCCATCCACAAGAAACCAAATAGTCGGTATAATTTCTAAATTAGTTTATAAGAGGAGAGCTGTGAATGAGCCTAATACCGAGACCCGAAAGATTAAATAATTCCCAAATCGATAACGTGGGCTATTTTGTCTCTGGAGGCAGCACCTCCAGTCGATGGAATAGCCCTCCGGCTAGGGATGTGGCCACCCAGCCCTTCATCACCACACACTGAGCTTAGTAAACTGTGGGAAAGAGTTGGAGCGTCGTCTCTTCCGAAAACTGATGATGAGTGCATTTAACCACTTTTCGCTCAAAACCCTAAAGCAATTCCACGATATTCCTTTTTCCTGAAGAAATAAATCCTACATGGTGTTCCTATTGACAAAAGTATACTTTTCGAAATATTTCTTCCGGTTTTTATCTTCCATAGTGCAGACTGGAAAGTGTGCATCTTGCAGATAGATCGGGCATTGTGACTAGCTCGAGCACCTCGCATCCGAGGATCCGTCGATATTCTCTTTGCAAACTCTAAACAGTACAAATGTAAAGTAACTCTTCAATAGCGAGTGACGATTGGACACCTTGGCGGGCCACGCAGCCAATGAAGAGTCTGCTGGACAAAAAAAATAAACTACAGAATCAGAAGGTGGGGCATTTTATGCCTGGATTCTGAGGGCAAACGTCTTAAAACCAAGTATGACAGGAAATTGCTTTTAATTTTACCCTATTTTGCTACCGTTTGCCACCCAATTCCAGGATTGTGAAAAGTTGTACCTCACTTGTGATATGCGGTTGCGTTCCTGGGAATCTTTGAGCTCAAGGAATACGCCATAATTTCATCGGGCTTGGGTGCTCATCTTTAACACTGATATTACATTCCATAAAATGGGATTTTCGACCTGCCAAAGGCGTTGCCACTTGAAATCTACACCGAGCCAAGGAAGTGGTCCCCCTTTTCTGGAAAAAAACACTCTCATAAGGGAAGGATTTCGTTAACAGCGATTGCCCATGGAAAACATTGTTGCCATTTGTCAGTAGTAATTGTAGCACTTCGCGACACCTCCAAAGGCGAGAGAATGGATGATGATATTGGGGCAGGATAAGTATTATCGACCTACAGAAGGCCTTGACGGCTACTGGTCTGGCCCATAGGCCTGGTCGCCCGACGGAGGTACAATGGCGGAGCCCTAAGTGGCCCGTTATTAAAACCAATAGTTAGACAAACAAAGTATTACAGTGACTGTGGTGGAATGGATTTACTGTTGCCCCCTTTTCAATCTACTTGCGGGTATTTTGGTACTGCACTGAGTGGGCTCTACAAAGTCTCTTCCGCTTGACGCGGGAAGCCGCCCTTCATTTGTCGGTGAGCTAAATAAGGAGGTTTTATTTGAGACATGGCCTGATTAGTCTTCTAAACCATTCCAATTGAAGTTTTGCAGAGGAATCGGAGTCCTACAAGGCGATTTTAACGTTATTTTTTCTTTTGAAATACATGAAAAATTACAGCACTGTCTCAATTAAGTTACAATAAAATCATGGAGGCTTAAGCTGAGTCCTTATGTAGGCCGAAAAAAGAAAACAAGGTGGAGAAAGGCAAAATCAAATAGCGTAGCTCCCTCGTGCCATGAGGAATTAGGTTTGGTAGGGTTGTCTCTTTGGTATGCAGTTTAATAGCATTTGACTGATTTCAGAATGACCAGCCTTCGTGGCAAAAAAGAGGGCTGTTTCGCAACCACCTTCCCTCGTGGTGAAGATGTTGGCGCCTAAAATACATTAAAGGGTTTGCCTGAATATTAACAAAATCTCAGCTGCCTCAGGTAAGTGGCAAATCACCTAAAAGGTTGCCGTAGAACGATCTAAGAAACGAAATTTAAGTGCCTACCGGCCATTAATAGCGATCTGACAATTGCGGGATTTCCCAGTCTGGCAGCCAACATGAGCGGAGTGCAGCCGAATTCATCCCGTCGTTCAGTGCTGGCTCCGAGTTGTAAGAAGTAGTTGACGGTGTCCACGTCACCATTAAAGACAGCTGCAAAAAGCGGTGGCCTGATGGTGCTGGCAGGGTGGTTGACACTAGCTCCATGCTTTATTAAGAGGTGAATCAACGATCTGTCACCTCGCATGGCAGCCCGTGAGAGTGCAATGTACAGCTCATTGGTGCGATCCTGCTCAAAGTCTGCATACTCCAGAAGGTATTTTGCTATTTCGAAATGCCCCTGTGGAAGTGATACAGGTGGGCGTTACTTTAAGCCCAAAAGTTGCTGTTTGTTTGGGTATAGTAGTATAGTGATTGTGTAGAGAATCACGTAAAAGAATTGACTAAAATCTCAAATTTTTATCATCCACCATAGCATTGAACCACTTACAGACCTGACAACAAGCGAGGATAAGTGGAGACTCGTTTCTAGGATTTACTTGTGGGCCCATGAGAGCACCGAAGTTGACCAAATAGTGAACAATGTCAGTGTGGCCCCTATAAGCGGCTTGCATCAGAGGAGTGCGGTGCTCAAAGGTTCCACTATTTAAAGGACCGTCGTACTCCAGAAGGAGTTTCACACATTTCACGTGGCCCCGGTCAGCCGCCAGAAATAGAGCAAACTCGCCGACTGTGTTAACTAGGTGCGTATCTGCACCGTATTGGAGGAGGACTGCCATCACCTCCAGGAAACCCGCCTCAGCGGCCACCATAAGCAAGGTGGTCATCGTATTATCAACAAACTGATTGGGTGGAGCCTAGGAAATAAGAACTACACCAAATACCAGGACTTTTTCATTTCATCATCTAGAAATAGGATTTTACACGGCGAAGAGGCGATTAAGAATGTGACAAAGTAGTTAACTATGTATGAAGGTGAGAGTTAAAATGAAAAAAAGCCCACACTTGACAATCCTGCTATGGAGGATGAAAGTGGGGAAAGGAAGGAGAGCTTACTCCATAGTAAAGCAATATTTGAACAGTACTGACATCGTTCTTTCTGACAGCTGCTGTTAGATTCGGATTCCCATGCCATAAGGCAAATGCACTCGATAAGAAGCGAATCTGTTGGTTTTCATCCTTCAAAGGAAACAATGATACGATAGTATTTGACCTATAAAGTCTAAGTGCCATCCACATTATCTCAGGGTGAGATTTGAGTTCATGGGCATAAATACGGACAGGCAATATTGAGATGGGAAGCAAGCAACTATAAAATATGTCTCCAGTAGAGGCAGACCTAGTTCTATCACAGCAGTTATGACATTTTTCATAAGTGAATAGAAGGAGCATGAAACGAAGAGAGGGTTGGGGAGGGAGGTTGG